TCACTCATGTTTATGTCTAAGAGGTTTTTGCCTATGTTTTTTTCCAAGAGTTTAATGGTTTCATGACTTACATTCAGGTCTTTGATCCATTTTGAGTTTACCTTTGTATATGGGGTTAGACAATGGTCCAGTTTCATTCTCCTACATGTAGCTGTCCAGTTTTGCCAGCACCATCTGTTGAAGAGACTGTCATTTTGCCATTGTATGTCCATGGCTCCTTTATCAAATATTAATTGACCATATATGTTTGGGTTAATTTCTGGAGTCTCTAATCTGTTCCACTGGTCTGTGGCTCTGTTCTTGTGCCAGTACCAAATTGTCTTGATTACTATGGCTTTGTAGTAGAGCTTGAAGTTGGGGAGTGAGATCCCCCCTACTTTATTCTTCTTTTTCAGGATTGCTTTGGCTATTCGGGGTGTTGTAACTTTTAAATGATTAAAAAATGCACTATTAAAAAACATTTCCTAAGCATTGCCCTGCAAATTAAGGGCTGAGATTTTAGCTGTCTCATTAATAGTTTATGTGGAAGACTACCACTTTTATATGGGTTTATTATTTTAGCTGTTATCAAAAAAATAATACATGTTCTTGTAGAAAAATGGCAAGTACAGGCAAATATAAGAAAACAGGAAAAAACCCTCACACTCCTATCCTCTAGAGGCAGCTACTGTCAATTATCTTGCCATAGTTTCCTTCAGACTTTTTCTACTTAAGCACAGCTGAGATCATCCTGTACATACAATTTTGCAAACTGCTTTTTATGCTTACCATAATATCACAGGCATTTTCTTGCTTTTAAAACTCTCTGCAAACATTTTAAATTCATAGCTTATAGACTGTTTTTATTGAGGTAAAATACATATTAGTTTTACCATCTTAGTATTTTTTCAGTGTACACTTCAGTGGTCTTAAATACATTTATAGTGTTGTGCAACTGTCTCTACCATCTAGGTCCAGAACTCTTGTCATCTTGCAAAACTGAAACTCTGAACCTACTAAACAATAGGCCCCAGTATCCTGTCCCCCAGCTCCTGACAACCACTATTATTTTTACCTCTATGAATAATTATTCCAAGTACCTCATGAAAATGGAGTCATACAGTATTTGTCTTTTTGTGACTCTAGTTTATTTCACTTAGCATAATGTTCTCAAGGTTCATCCATGCTGTACCATATGTCAGAATTTCCTTCAATTTTAAGGCTGAATATTTTATTGTATGTACAGACCATATTTTGCTTATCCATTCATCCATCAATGGATACCTGGGTCACTTCCACATCTCAGCTGTTGGCAATAATGCTGCTTTGAATATGGTGTGCAACCATCTCTTCAAGACCCTGCTTTCAGATCTTTTGGTGATATACCCAAAAGGGAGGATATTGGATATTTGGTAAATCTGAATTTTTAATATTTTGAGGAAATATCAAACTGTTTTCTATAGCAGCTATACTATTTTACATTGCCACCAATGGTGCACAAGTGTTCCAATTTCTCCACATCTTCACCAACACTTGTTACTTTGTTTTCTTTTGTTTTGATAGTAGCCATCCTAATGGGTGTGAAGTGGTATCTCACTGTAGTTTTGATTTTCATTTCCCTACAAATTAGTTATGTTGAGTGTGCTTATCAGTTATTTTTGTATCTTCTTTGGAGAAATATCTATTCAAGCCCTTTTCCCATTTTTTTTTTTGCTTCTTAGGAGTCCTCTATATATTCTAAATATTAATCCCTTATTAGCAAATATTTTTGCCCATTATGTGGTTTGTCTTTTTTACTCTTTTGACATTGTCTTTTGACATTCCCAATAAATTACATGAAACACAGACATCAATCTGAAATGTAATAGGGTATAGAAAAGTCTAAGATTTGCATATGCTTTTGAATCTATCACAGAGATAAATCATGAATAGTATCTGTGATCTATGTTAGTTTCCAAGCCTGTACTTAGTCATCAACTATACACTGGTCTCTTCATTACTGGATTTACTGTGTGCTCTGTATTTCAGGATGATTGTTAATTGTAATTATGATCAAATATATGAATAAACAAATGATGTTATTAACATCTTGAGATCTGCTAGGACTATACATTATGTTGGGCACAATTAATATTTTTCCCAACACCTTCACTAGAAAAAAATCACAAATGTTCAATCTAAAGCCTATGTGGAATCAATATCACCTTGAGTTTAGCAGAAATTGCTGACTGCCAGAACAGACACCAATTCAAGCTCACTTAATTTTTCTGAGAGTAATACAATGAAACATGAAACACAGAAAACACTTTTCAAATCAATTCACATACCTGATTTCTTTGGAAACAGAAGTTACAGGCCCAAAGTTTTGCTCGGTAATCAACCTGACTGTAAGAAAAAGAAATATTACAATCAAGTACCATTCTCATTTTTATGGTAGAAAGCAATCATAAGTGAATTTCAAGTTCAGTAAATCACAGATATGTGTTTCTGCGTTTGTATGCATGAATGGCTGAGTGTACAAAATGTTCACTGCAATTAGAATTCTATTAAGCACACCAAAAGTTCCTTCAAGAGCAGCAATGAAGAATTAGTAAATCCTTTTTTTTCCTTTCCTAATTTCCTAGATACTATTTAAAAGTTCATAATTTTATATAAACCATAGGTTATTTCCTTTTGCCCTGGCAACTTAACATAGTCTTGTGATTTTTTTTCTAACATCTTTATCTTTCAGATATATAAAACTATTAAAGTTCAATACTAAAAGCACACAGTATACACAGGAAAAACTTCCCAGACTTTAATCTCACTCTGTTCACTTCAAGAAAAGCTGGGCAGGCATGTTTCTGGGTGGGCATACTTCCTAGAATTGGTTCAAGATAATGCTTTTTTTCTCCTTTCTACAGTTAGAACATTAACAATCAGTGACCATCATTTTAAAAAAGCAGCAGCATCTTACATAGGGACAAATTAAGCAAAAGAGGAAATTTTTCTTCATATAAAATACTATCTTTTAAATATTTCTGATACAGCATCACCATACCAGATACATATGAGAAAACGGTCTAAAACTTAAAATTTTTTTTTGAAAATGTTCTAAAAGATACCTGTAAAATGTACAATTAAGCAAAACACAAAATAAAAATCATCAAAAAAGTATATTTCAAATCCTTTCCCTATTCTTCCACCTCATTCCAATAAGTTCTGCTTTTTATCTAGAGAAAAAGGCCAAGGAGATTTCTACAAGCATTCATCACCTAAGAATCCCAGCATCTACTACTCATCTCAATTTTAAGGACTTGCCCAAATAGAATCACTTTTTGAGACTCACACTAAAGTCATGAGAATCACATTAAAGTCATAATTTACTGTATTACTCATTTTTACTAGCTTCTAAAAGAATTCATACCAAAGTGGATTGAGAATAGCTTTGCAAGTTGGCCTGCCACAAAGCACAGGTTCATACTGTACAGGAGGCAGGTCTGGACGTTCTTTTAAAGGAGTGAGGAGACAAGCCAGGGGAACAACCATTCTTGTAGCCTCGAGACGGCTGGAAGGCCACACATTCCAACTAAAACGCACACCATCCTGTTCTTCATTCTGCTGAATGAACTCCAGATATGTTGCCATAGCCTAAAAAGGAACTGAAAATAAAGCTTTACTTGTATGTGACATTCTCAACTATACTTTAAAAAAGAAGATGATTACCTAATATGTTTCTTAAACGCTTAGTCTGGCAGAACCTGTCACTGAGGGATGACAATATCTCTTTTCCCTCTGACCCCTAAAGCCAATTAACTTCATAGTTATCTTTGACTACTGTTCCTTTCTCAACTCTCCTCTCTAGCACTTAAATACATAAAAGGGGCAGAAGGTTTACAATCATTTGATCTCTAAGCTGCATGTAGCTTATAATACTAACTTAAACCTCCCCATAGATCACACATCATCTCAGATGAGCCAATTTCAGCCCCTGTTTCAGCATCCAGCTACCTTCCTCTTTGATCCCCTTCCTTCCCTGCTTTAGTAAACACTGTATTAAAATTTACATTCCAAGTGATCTTCTTTATGTGCCCTTCCCCTTCTCCCTCTGTTTTAACTGTGGAGAGAAGAACTGAGTACTGATGTGAGAATCCAATTCATAATGAGAACCACCACCAGTTCCAAGTCAAAGTATTTCTGATTGGGCTCACCAAAATTACAAAGCAAAGTGTGTTATTATGCTGACTGAGTCCCTCGCCAGGACTTCCCTCCTCACCTCACCAAGGGTGCTTAACACTAATGCCTTGAAACATTCTAGGTAATAACATGGCCACACTAGGCTTTTCAAGCCCAAAGAATGCCAACTGCAGTTGAGTGTTTTATACATCCTGTTTACATCCTAAAATCTCATCTAACACACCTCAGCTAACAGGGCTCTAGGGAACAAGCCCCTCAAGAAAAATGGGGGAAAAAGGCAAATTGAAGAATCTACGATGACAGTGGCCTCTTAGTGCTCAATTCATGCAATGCTGAATAACTGTCTCAATTTTTTTATGAATAGTGCCGTATTGTAAATAATGTGGACTAAGTATCACAGGGCCAGAAAAGCAAATGAACGAATCACTCTACTACACGGAACCCAGGCCACAAAAACTCTAAATGTTTGTTTTCTCCCATGGAAACTCTACAGCATTTATTTGTTACTTCTGGCAAAAGCGGGACACCGAAGCACTGTTTAGGTAGGAGGTACTTCCTGCAGCTTCCTGGGTGGCAAAGGGACAATTCAGGTGGGAATAAAAACGTTCTAATATCACAGTTCTCAGCAAGTATCCCAGCAGGCTTCATTAATGGCTGTTTCTCCTTTCAAAACAGCTCACTGTTAAAAGGCACTGGCTCCATCCAATGTCCCTCAGCATCTGCATATTAAAACCTGCTCTCTCCATTTCACACTGACCCTTCCCCTCAGCCTTTTTAGAGCATGGATTCTCTAACAGAACCAACGGAAACTTCAGGGGGTCAATAAATCCTCTGAAATTGTGTGCATCAGTGAACGTGAAATTTTTCTAGGGAGGTGGGTCTACACCTTACATCATATTTTCAAAGGGGAAGGGTTTCTGAAGAGGTTAATACCCGAATGAATTAATTAATTAATGGATAAATGAAAGAACTGTGAAGACCCTGCAGGAGTATTCGCAAAACAAAAAATCTGGACCACTCATCCCACCAAAGCCTAACTTTTCAGGACATGGTAGCCAAGTTCAAGGAAGGGAAGTCCGAAAACCTGGGTTCTAGTTCCAACTCTGTCACGAAGCATAAGTCATTTCACCTGAATCTCTAGTTCCTCAACTGGAAATGGGGGCTGGATGCTTCTGCACCGCCTGAGAAGCGATTCTGAGAAGCCGGCCAGCCGCACCGCCTGGCGGCGAACTCGTCATTCTCAGCCCACCCTTGGGATCACCGATTCTCTCAGTGCCTCTGCCCGCCAGAAAAAGGGCTCACCCCAGGTGCTACCCAGGCTCCCCCTGCAGAGACTCTTGTCTGGGCCCTTGACCCCCCACAACTTACGCTCAACCACTAACCTGGCCGGAGCCGCTCACCTGGCCGCAGCAGTCAGCACCTACAGCTTCAAGTGCCCAGCTTCGGCTCGCAAGACCAAGTCCAGCTCAGCTCTCGGCCGATTAGTCAGAGCTCTCCGTGCGTCATGCCACGGCGCCGTCCGCGGGCCAATCAAAGGGCGTATCTCCGACGTAAGGGCGGAAGCAAGACGCTGAGAGAAGCCACGCCGCCATCTTAGAACAGGGCAAGACCGTCGGGCCTCGCATTACAAAGCTAGTATCTCAGAATGCAAGTTTCTCCACGTTCATTTATCAACGTTTCAGTTTCAGAAAATCCTGGTGCCTGGCAGGCTGTTTCCTGGGAGCAGCCTGCACGCCCCAGGGATTCGCCTTGATCAAATATGACGTCCCCTCGCATCTGTGGGAAATCCCTCTCATCGCCTTAGTTACCGGGAAGCGAGAACGATGACGTGTAGTTCAGAAAGAAGGAGCGGCCCCACGCGGAAGAAACTGACGGTAGCCGGAAGGAGGTGTCAGGCCGTGGGAGCGGGCGGGGCGGAGGGAGAGTGGGGACGCATGCGCAAGATTTATTTCGCATTGAACAGGTGTAGTTGAGCATCTTCATTTGACTTCGTTTCCTACTTTCGTTCGCTCCAATGCCTTGCGCTGCCTGCGGAAGCTGACACTAGGGCTCAGCTCCTCGTATTTCTGTCATCCTTCAACGAAAAGGTGAATAATCGAGAACTGTCATATCCAAGCATTTTAGGAGAGTAACACAGCACTTAACTACATAGACCACAACTTACTACAGCTACCAACCATTTTACACCTTTTTTTAAGTGGCAGAAATGAGCACGTTTATTAATCTGACTCAGAGACGTAACCTCTCTGTAGCATATAAAAATAAGAAACAACTACATCAAATTATCCTTAGAACATTTCTAGGCATCCAAGAATTACCATTAATTAAATCAATTCGTACAGTTTAAAGTTATTTACAGGTAATAGAAATTAGTTTTAAATCAGTGTACTATGAAATGTAAGTATGTTAATATAAAAAGTTTATCAAATAAATGATTCAGTTTTGTTGAACAAAATTTACATTTTTCCTGTTCCTAAAACGTTATGTAAGAATGATGATAGGTTATTTGATCATTAAACCTGTATAAATTTAGGAAGTTCAAATTTATTATCTCAGTATGGAAAAAAATTCAATTAAAATAAAATATACATTTGTATTTTATATGAGAAAAGACAACTGTGTTTTTTTAATTGAAGTATGGTTGATACACAATCTAATATTGGTTTCAAGTATACAACACAGTGGTTCAATAGTTACCCATATTATTAAATCCTCACCCCCACTAGTGCAGTTACTATCTTGTCAACATAGGAAGTTATAGAATCATTGACTATATTCTCCATGCTGTACTAATATCCCTGTGACCAACTTATAGCTGTGTTCTTTTTTTATTATAAAATGTACATCACAGTGGTTCAACAGTCCCCCTCCCGCTTGGTAACCACTAGTCACTTCCCAGTGTCTATGAGTCTAATGCTGTTTTGTTCCTTCTGTTTTGCTTTTTTTTATATTCCACAAATAAGTGAAATCATATGGTATTTGTCTTTCTCTGTCTGGCTTATTTCACTGAGCATAATACCCTCTAGATCCGTCTATGTTGTTGCAAATGGCAGGATTTCTTTTCGTTTTTTGTCTGAATAATATTCCATTGTGTGTATGTACCACTTCTTCTTTTTCCATTCATCTACTGATGGACACTTAGGCTGCTTCCATATCTTGGCTATTGCAAACAGTGTGGCGATAAACATAGAGGTGGATATATCTTTTTGAATCAGGGATTTTGTTTTCTTCAGGTAAATTCCTACGAGTGGAATTACTGGGTCAAATGGTTTTTTTAGGTACCTCCATACTAATTTCCACAGCAGTTGCAACAATTTAGGTTTTACAGTCCCACCAAAAGTGTAGGAGGGTTCCTATTTCTCCACATCCTCGCCAGCATTTGTTGTTTCTTGTCTTTTGGTTAGCAGTCAATCTAACTGGTATGAGATGATATCTCATTGTGTTTTTTATGGTATCATTAATACACAATCACATGAGCAACATTGTGGTTACTAGATTCCCCCCATTATCAAGTCCCCACCACCTACCCCATTACAGTCACTGTCCATCAGCATAGTAAGATGCTATAGAATCACTACTTGTCTTCTCTGTGCTATACTGCCTTCCCCGTGCTCCCCCCAACGTTATGTGTGCTAATCGTAATGCCCTTTTTTCTTCTTATCCCTCCTTTGCCACCCACCTTCTCCAGTCTCTTTCCCTTTGGTAACTGTTAGTCTATTCTTGCGTTCTGTGATTCTGCTGCTGTTTTGTTCCTTCAGTTTTTCCTTTGTTCTTATATTCCACATATGAGTGAAATCATTTGGTGCTTGTCTTTCTCTGCCTGGCGTATTTCACTGAGCATAATACCCTCTAGCTCCATCCATGTTGTTGCCAGTGGTAGGATGTATTTTCTTCTTATGGCTGAATAATATTCCATTGTGTATATGTACCACTTCTTCTTTATCCATTCATCTATTGATGGACACTTAGGTTGCTTCCATATCTTGGCTATTGCAAACAGTGCTGCGATAAACATAGGGGTGCATATATCTTTTTGAATCAGAGATTTTGTTTTCTTCAGGTAAATTCCTAGGAGTGGAATTACTGGGTCAAATGGTATTTCTATTTTTAGTTTTTTGAGGCACCTCCATACTGCTTTCCACAGCAGTTGCAACAATGCAGTCCCATCAAAAGTGTAGGAGGGTCCTATTTCTCCACATCGTCACCAGCATTTGCTGTTTCTTGTCTTTTGGATAGCAGCAATTCTAACTGGTATGAGGTGATATCTCACTGTGGTTTTAATTTGCATTTTCCTGGTCATTAGTGATGTGGAGCATCTTTTCATGTGCCTGTTGGCCATTTGTATTTCTTTGGAGAAATGTCTGTTCAGGTCCTCTGCCCATTTTTTGATTGGGTTATTTGTTTTTTGGGTGTTGAGGCATATGAGTTCTCTGTATATTTTGAATGTTAACCCCTTATCCAATGAGTCATTTACAAATATATTCTCCCATATTGTAGGATGCCTTTTTGTTCTGCTGATGGTGTGCTCTGCTGTACAGAAGCTTCTTGGTTTGATGTAGTACCACTTGTTCATTTTTGCTTTTGTTTCCCTTGTCGAGGAGATGTTTTGAGGAAAGAAGTTGTTTGTGTTTATACTCAAGAGATTTTTGCCTATGTTTTCTTCTAAGAGTTTTATGGTTTCATGACTTATATTCAGGTCTTTGTTCCATTTCAAGTTTACTTTTCTATGCGGAGTTACACAGTAATCCAGTTTCATTCTCTTATATGTAGCTGTCCAGTTTTGCCAATACCAGCTGTTGAGGAGGCTGTCTTTTCCCCATTGTATATTCGTGGCTCCTTTATCGTATATTAAATGACCATATATGCATGGGTTTAAATCTGGACTCTGTGTTCCATTGATCTGTGGGTCTGTTCTTGTGCCAGTACCAAATTGTTTTGATTACTGTAGCTTTGTAGTAGAGCTTGAAGCCAGTGAGTGTAATCCCCTTCCCCCTGGAAGTTTGTTTTTCTTTCTCAGGATTGCTTTGACTATTCGGGGTCTTCTGTGGTTCCTTATGAATTTTATAACTATTTGTTCTAGATCATTGAAGAATGCTGTTGGTATTTTGATAGGGATTGCATTGAATAAATTGCTTTAGGCAGGATGGCCACTTTGACAATATTAATTCTTCCTATCCATAAGCATGGGATAGATTTCCACTTATTGGTTTCTTCTTTAATTTCGGTCATGAGTGTCTTACAGTGTTCAGAGTATAGGTCTTCCACCTCCTTGATTAGGTTTATTCCTAGGTATTGTATTCTTTTGATGCAGTTGTAAATGGAGTTGTTTTCCTGATTTCTCTGTCTGCTAGTTCATTGTCAGTATATAGGAATATAGCTGTGTTTTTTAAATAAACATTAAAAGAATATCATTAGCCAAAGATTTGCTTTAATCATTCGAACCTGGATTCTTTCTGTATTAGAATTTCTATAAGAAGAATTTTTTAAAGCTAGCACATTTAAAATATGAGATGTGTAATTTCCTTATTTTCTGGGAATTTTAGAAATATTTGATTTATATAAGCATGCATTTGTCTTGATAAGCCAATCAGAACAGAACTCCTTTGAGAAATGTAAAAATCTAATTTATTAAAATTCTGAAGTTAGTAAAGCATTTCACACTCACAGAGGTGAAGGCCTTTCTTGATTATAGCAATGAAGACACACAGATACACAGGCAGGTAGAGCTTTGGTTCCCCAACTGCAGCCACAGGTCAAAGTGAAAACAGAAACGCAAACACTCACTAGCTTAGGCATCAAAGAGCTGTGGGCATGGAAGTCTTAACTGATTTGAACTCATAAACACCCAAAAAGGCAATCAAAAACTAACCAACCAGATTCCTCTCTTACCCAAGAGAGACTATATGTCTGTAAACTATTAATTCATTTAAAAAGACAACAGTCAGTATATAAAACTAAATACCTAATTGCTGCTGCCACCAATGGGGTAAAACTTCCCAGCTGTAGGTATAAAAGAAACAAAAACAAAAAACAAAAAATCAGAAGAGAAGAAAGCAAGCCTAGAGAAATGGAGAGTCAGCAAGGTTGTTGTACTATTGACAGTTGGTAATATTCGCTGTTCACTCTAGGAGCCAAGGGAAAATATGCCTGGGCTTAAGCAGCCCAGGAGGTGTTCTTCAGCAGTATGGTTTATCTGGTCTTGTCAGGTCTATTCATTGGGAAGCTGGTGAAACCTCCAAAATAGTTAAAGTTTCACAAAGGTAAAATTTTGGTCCTTATGCAAATATAAAATGAACATGTGTCAATGATTCCACCTAACTCATTTATTAATGAAGGAACAAGTAAAGATGTTCAAACCTATTCAATGAAGAATCTCATTTATAGATTCATTTTCCCTACTGTACAAGATTCATCTGCATTGTTGTGGGCAGGAAACTTTTGCATTACTATCAGTTTTCTGTAAATATCTGTTCCTACTGAGTTATAAAATAGTTTAATCAAAGATAAAGACACATACCCCTTACAATCAGATGATCTCAGAGAGTTCTTTAAAAAATGCCTAGCATTTCGTGGAAAGTTCATCTTTTGGCCAAATAATCTCTTCTCGCTGTTTCAAAATCCTTCACTATGTTCCTGATGTAGCATTTATCATATATAATCTAACTTCTATATTTCTAGGTCGGTATTCTCTAACTAACATGAGGTTTGTATATTCAACAACCTGTTGAATATCTCTGGGTATTCTTGGCACCTCAAAGTCAGTATGTCTTGTTAAG